AGAGTAGGTCGTATTTTCGGGGAAAATGGTAATAAAAGTGCTGTTTTTCAATAAAACAACTTTTGCAGGTCAAAATAATAACTTGCAGGTCAGGATTCCAGCCATCGCTCTCATTTAAATCATGATTCTCAAAAAGTTTTTATGAGTGGACAATAACGGGACGTGTCAAAGCCAGTGGAAATTAATCGAAACAAAACACCAGGCTGGCTGGGGCACAAACGGGGAACAGACCGGCCAGGAATGGAATGGCTGCTTCAGCGGCATCGCACACACGTGCGCGTGCACACACACTTTTCTCTTAAAAGTTGTGCGGCTGACGGTTGGCAACCGGCTACCCAATCACACTTGGGCGCAAGACTGTGGTTTCCTCGTAAGGGGGAAGGGGTGAGAACAGACTTTGCACCCCTGTTATTTCCACTCTTAAGTGTTTATTTACCACTCTGGAAGTGAACACAGTGCAGGTAACTCTTTTGTCTTCCAACTGCAACTGAGCCCACAATTCATGTCGGTAAGTGAGGAATTCGTTGGGTTTTGCCTGCTTTTGACGACTTCCCTTGCCACATTTGTGAAGGGAATCCCTGCAGTCGTTAAGTTAGTCACACCGTTGTTAAGCGAATTGGGCTTTCCCATTGACTTTGTTCGTCAGAAGGTCGCAAAAGGAGATATGACCCCGCAACCATCATAAATAGGAATCGGCTGTCAAGCATCCGAACTTAAATCACATGACCACGAGGAGGCATCAATGGCTGTATGAAAAATGGACGTGTCGCCTCTTTCAGTGCCATGGTAACTTTGAACGGTCACCAAATGAATTGTAAGTCGAGGACTACCTGTAAGATTTTTTTTTTTTTTTGCAAGAATTGATGGGCACATTTAATGAGAGCCTCCATCTTGGTTCTTACAGCCTCCTGATCCACCCCGTCTTCCTTTGTGCAAGTCAAATACAGACATACATTTAGTGACTGCTGAAGTTACAACGGCACCGAAAAAAGTGACTTATTTTTTTCACAACGGCTGTTGCGGCATCCGCATGGTCACCTAATCGAAATTCAGAGATGCTGTGATGACCCAGGGTGGGATTATAAAATAAACACAGTCACAAAAACAGGTGAAGCCCCTTTTATTCCTTCAGCTTGGCTTCCAAGCTCCAAATATCCTCGACTGGAGACAAAAAAAACTCCCCCACAAGCAGTTGCAAAAAGGAGGAAATGCCGTTTAAACTAAAAATACCTATAGATTATAACTAGAAAAAATCAACACAAACCACACACACTGAAGCAATAAAGGGAACCAGGCAAGATAAGGGCTGGAGGAGGTCCACAGATAATGGAACACACACTGGGAAGGACGCCAAACTCAGAGAGGAACCATAAACTAAGAGATATTTCCATGCTTTGTTTCCAGCACTGGCCCATACGCATGTCTGTCCTCTTATTCAGTTGTCACAGCTGCAGCCCATGAAGGGGATCAAGGCCCTTTCCTCCCCCCGTAGACCACACCATTCACGTTTCTCCATTATCCACTCCTCCCTGCATGCCGTAGGATGGAGAGGGGATGGGCCTGGGTCCTCCTCTGACTGCCCATCCAGCCTCTGCCCTTCCCCAGCCTCCTCCACAACCCCCATAGCCACACTCCCACGCCCCGTCAGCGGTTCCTCCTCTCCCTCGGAGTCAGTCCCCAACAGGGGCATGACAGACGCTTGGCAACTGGTTCCTACTTATGACGGTTGCGGTGTCTGGGAGGCTCGTGTGATCCCCTTCTTGCAACCTCCTGACAAGGAAAGTTATGGGAGAAGCCGGATTCATTTAACCACCGGGCGACTCACTGAGAAACTGCTGTGATTCTGTGGCAGGAAAGGTCGTAAAACGGAGCAAAACAAAAAACACCACCACGTTAACCACTGTCTTGCTCAGCAGTGGAAATTTGGGAGCCAACCCAAGGACCCTTTGGAAAAACAGCCCCGACATCCTAAATCCGATGGCCCAGAGCACTGTATCCCCAGTCTCGATAAAATATTCTAGGATAATCGTTTCTTTGTTTAAACCAGCATAAATCACTTGTGGCAGCCTCTCCATTTACCCCAAGATAGTCCCAATGGTGCCATTTTTTTTTCTCTCAGGAGGCAACTGGGTTTTTTGTTTTTGTATTTGAAAACTTTTCGCTTCTCATCCAAGAAGCTTCTTCAGCTCTGATAGGAGAGTGGGGAATGTCAGAGCTGAAGAAGCTTTCTTGGATGAGAAGCGAAACGTCTTCAAAGCAAAAAAACAAGAAATTCCTGTTGCTTCTTAGAAACAAAAGCACCTGTCAACCCTGACAGCACCTTTGGGACAACCTGGATGACTGAGAATCTACGGAGAGATCGTGTTTCTCACCCTGAGCGACTTTTACCTGGGCTGGCTGGGGAATTCTGGGACTTGACGTCCACGCAGCTCAAAGGTTGCTCAGGGTGAGAAACTAAGTGAAGCCAAGGAAGGCGGTGAGAAGGATCCAAAATCGCTTTCTAGCCTCAATTTCCTCCTGAATAATACGAAGGATTCTCCAGCATTTCCAAAAACAAGGATTTCTCCTCCTCAGTTCGATACGGCGGTATTAATCTTCTAAAAACGCAAGGCGATTGCTTAGACCAGGGGGGTCCCCAATCTGTTGGGCTGTGGCCCATTTCCGCGTGATGGCCCTTTCACAACCGGGCCACATGAGCACTGGGCCGTTACACACACGTGCGCGCACGCAACTCAGGTGAGCTAGGGGCCTGTCCCCACCACCACACACAAAAAACCATCCCCCGTTTTGCCCCGCCCTGTGCCAGGGCACCAGCCCAGAAAAGTTGGGGAAGGCTAGCTTAGACCATCCGGTACCCCTAGGGAAAGCATCTTCTTCACCCTACTCCAAGACGCAAATGTCATTTATCAATTAATTACCAAATGGTAACACTCCCCAATTAAGCAAAACCTCCCATTTTACAAAAAGCCAGGCTGCGTGCTCCCCATTTCTGCATACTGGAATAAGATTTTAAATTCTCAATGGTGGACAACCAGCTAAATAGGAGCCAATGTTGTGCAGCAGCAGCCAAAAAAGCTAATGCAATCCTCAGTTGCATTAACAGAGGGATACAATCAAGATCAAGGGAGGTACTAATACCACTCCGTAAAGCCTTAGTAAGGCCACACCTAGAGTCCTGCATCCAGTTTTGGTCACCACACTATAAAAAAGGTGTTGAGACTCTGGAAAAAGTGCAGAGAAGAGCAACCAGGATGATGAGGGGATGATTGGAGGCTCAAACATACGATAGACAGTTGCAGGAACTGGGCCTGGCTAGTCCAGGGAAGAGAAGGACCAGGGGAGACAGGAGAGCATCTCCCAATATTTGAGGGGCTGCCACAGGGAGGAGGAAGGGGGTCAAGCTATCTATCTATCTATCTATCTATCTCTATCTCTACCCCCTCCAATATTTGAGGGGCTGCCAGAGAGGAGGAAGGGGGTCAAGCCATTTTCTAAAGCACCTTTGAAGGCCAGACAAGGAATAATGGATGGAAACTGACTCAAGGAGAGATTCAACTTAGAAATAAACTTTCTGACAGCGAGAACAATAAATCTGTGGAACAGAAGTTGCCCTCGGAAGTTGTGGGAGCGCCATCACTTGAGACTTTCGAGAAGAGATTGGACTCCCACCTGTCAGAAATGGTGTAGGGTCCCCTGCTTGGGAGGGATGGGGTGGGCTAGATGACCTACCAGGTCCCTTCCAACTCTGATGCTCTGTGACCTGGTTGAAATGAAAGTTGGATCGTGGCAGGAGGGTTCAAAAATATCGCGAACAAAAGCGCATCGGACAGCGGTGGATTTATTTACATTTGGGCTCAAACAGCACAGTAAAAACACATCGTGGCTGGAGGAGATCCAGTGGGGCAGAGGAAAGCGACCCACTCAAGTCCAAGTTCACACCAACCCACCCACTCCACCAAGGAATCCCACAGCCCAACCTTGCTTCTGGCTGATGTGACCTCCTTGGGTGTGGGTGGACAATGCCAAGGGAGCCTGTCCAGAGTTCCTTGCTTGGGCCTTGTGGAGAACGTGTGTGTGTGTGTGTGTGTGTATGTATATATGTATGTATGTATATATATATATCCTTTTTATATATATCCTTTTTTATATAGGATATATATATATATCCTGTATATATATATATCCTATATATACATATATATGTATATATATATATCCCTACCCAGAAAATGGTAGTGTTTTCTTCCACGTGGCGCAAGTAGGTATTCAGGGCCCCCACAAAATTTGAGTTTTTTAAAAATCCCCGGATGAAAATACTTAGGTGAACTGCTGTAGGTCTCTGGGGTGTGTGTGTGTGTGTGTGTGTGTGTGTGTGGTGTGGTTGGGTGGAATTTCACCTCAACTTGCCTTTTTTGTTTCTTCTTCTTCCCAGCAGTGTTTAAAAAAAAAAGTAAACCCACATTGTTGTTCACACAGAAAAAAAAAAAAAGTCCTTTAGTGGGTTTTTTTTTTCCAGCAAGTCGATTTGGGGGCAGGGTTTTTTTTGGCAAAACTCCAGCACAAGCAAAATTTCGAGTTTTCCAGATCGATTTTTTTCCCGTCACCGTTCAAGCGTCAGGATAAGATCGTCCGGGGAGCGGGAGAATTCAATCCCCCGGGTCTGCGTTCCAAATACGGCGTCTGCAAACAAGAGACCGATTAAAAAAGAAGAAGAAATCTCTGGTTTCTAAGGGCAGAGGCTGAGCAGGGGGGAAGAACGCGGCTTTTGCCGGGGCTGGCCGGAGAGGGGGGAGGCGTGCAGGGGATGGGAACATGGTTTTACCAATCCCTGGAAAACCGAGGGCAGCGATTCCTTTTCGGAAAGGCAGGGCTGGTCCAAATCCTTCCCTCGTCCCCCCGTTTCCCCCCCATCCGCTGCCACGGTTTTCTCTTGAGCCACAGACTCCTTGGCACGTGAACACGGCAATGTCGCTCGTCTGGGGGTTGCTTTTTTGGTGGGGGGCTCATCCAGAAGTTTTGGGTAGGAACAAAAAAAAAATGTCTGCCCAGAGCTGCGTCCTCCGATGTGCTTGACCTGGTTCAAGAGCCACAGTCCCACATCCCTTATCGTTCCTCCTGTTAAAAAGCTGAGGTGCCGTCCGCCGTTTCGGCACAACTTTTGAGCACCAAGAGAGTCCCGAGACGGGCAGAGGAGGAGATGATCCCATTTGAAAGCCTCTTCTGTCAAAATTGCACTTCTCTCGCTCGGACATGAGCACTGTAGCCTGCAGCCCTGGATCAAAGAGTGGTTGGAACCAGGTTAATCCAAGAAAACGCCAGCAAACCAGTTTCCGTCCGCCTCCTGGCACCGCAAACGCCTGCTTAGTGGAAATCTCCTCCTCCTGAATGGCAGAGCGTCCGTTGGCCATCGTGAGCGGCGCGATGGTCCGAAAAGTAGACAGAGGAATATTCCCTGTAAGAGACGGACTGGCATATTTTTTTTTTAATTAAAAAAAAACCCCTTCAATCCAGAATAGTGTAGAATTAAAAGGTAAAGAATCTATACACCTTTCCCTCCGGGAAATTCCCCGATTCCACGGATATTGTGCCGAAAGAAAATTACATTCCAAGAGTTGAACTTGGTGGGTTGGATGGTTTGAATTTCCTGTGTCCTGACCCCAAAATATATATATATATTTTTTTTCTCTCTTTCCTTGGGAGAAACAGGAAAAAACAAACAAAAACAAAACCGTTTCCCAGATTCCTTCCTCGGAGGAAACCAAAGCCTGGCGGTGGATCCGCGCGCCGTCCGACGGTGCCGGCGCCTTCAGTCTATTTTCACCGCGGCGTAAATTTTGCGGACAAACATGTAGGCTGCATAGAAGCCGATTGTCCCCGTCAGGAGCCAGAAGGAAAGAACCATGAGGGCGGTGTAGCCGAAATACAACAACGAGGGGATGAATTCCACGATGTCCAGCTGGAAGAGAAGACAGAACAGGAGTCAGAGGAGGGACAATGAAGGGGGGGGGTGAAGAGAGAGCTGAACCCCATTAGTTCTCCTTCGGGGGACTCCAAGGAGGACCGGGGGGGGGGACAGGATAGCAGCATTCCAGTATTTGAGGGGTGGCCACAAAGAGGAGGGGAGGGGGCTCAAATTATTCTCCAGAAGGCAGGACGAGAGGCAACAGATGGAAACTCATCCAGGAGAGAAGCAACCTGGAACTTCCTGACGGGGAGAACAACTGACCAGTGGAACTGCTGGCCACCGGAAGTTGTGGGTGCTTCAACGTTGGAGGTTTTTAAGAAGAGACTGGGCTGCCATCTGTCAGAAATAGTGTAGGGTCTGCTTGGGCAGGGGGGCTGGACTAGATGACCTACAAGGTCCCTTCCAACTCTGCTAATCTAATCTTATTTTATCTAATCTAATCTTATCTTATCTAATCTTATCTTATCTAATCTTATCTTATCTAATCTAATCTTATCTAATCTAATCTTATCTAATCTTATCTAAACTAATCTTATCTAATCTAATCTTATCTAATCTTATCTAAACTAATCTTATCTAATCTAATCTAATTTTATCTTATCTTATTTTATCTTATCTAATCTTATCTAAACTAATCTTATTTAATCTTATCTAATTTTATCTAATCTAATCTTATCTAATCTAATCTTATCTAATCTTATCTTATCTAATCTAATCTTATCTAATCTAATTTTATCTGGTCTAATCTAACCTACTCTAATCTAATCTAATCTAATCTAATCTAATCTAATCTATGGGTGTCCTGGAAGACTTCCAAGGGTCCTTCCAATTCTGTTATTCTGATGCCCTCAGCAACCCAGACATATTTGCCATCACATAACTCTTCTCTTCGGCTTCTACGGGGTGTCCCCAATTTCATGACCATTCCCAAAGTTCACAGTTACAGCAGACCCACCCCCAAAAAGGAACTTATGACCCAGATTCAAAGGGATGACACACCTCCGCATGCAGTTACGTGACAACGTACCGTTTTCCCCGAAAGTAAGTCCTACCTAGCTTGGTTTTTACACGTGAGCCCGATATAAGCCCTACCCCCCAAAATAAGCCCTAATTGAGACCCCACCCAGTCCAAAGTGGACAGGTAAAAATGAAGCTAGGATGGGGATGGGGGATGGAGCTGCCCTACTACTTACCTTTGGACAGGTGTAGCCAGGCCTCGCACCCCCCCAACACCTGCCTGGCCAGCCCATTTCCTCTGCAGCCAGAAAGGCTGGCCAGGCTTTCCTAAAGGCCTCTGGAGCTGAGAACAAAGCTCTGGATCGATCCTGAGCTCTCTTATCGGCTGCAGAGGCCTTCAGGAAAGACTTGCCAGCCACAGAAGAAGAAGCTCCTGGAGGCCTTTGACAGCGAAAAGGAGGCCGGGGGGCAGCGACACATGCAAGTGAGGTTAGTCAGTGGATGACATTCTCCCGAAAATAAGACCTGGTGCCTTTTTTGGTGGCAAAAATTTGATTGATGTATATAAAATACCGTATTTACCGGACCATAAGCTGCTACTTTTTTCCCCAGGGTTTTTTGAACCCCGTGGCTTGTACAACAATGCGGCTTATCTATCGATTTTTCTTCGCTAACTGCCATCAGGGGGCGCAAAAACGTGACAGACGCAAGAGGTCAACGCAAAGAAGACGACGCTGCCGGTAGTTTTTGGCGCGCTCGACGCATGCAGCACGACACGCACGAACGCCAAATATTTTTTCACACCCTCATCATGGAAAGTAGACGAAGAAAATTATATGATGCAGCTTTTAAGTTGAAAGCAATCGATCTGTCTATCCAGGAAGGAAATAGAGCTGCCGCACGTACGCTTGGTGTTAATGAATCAATGGTGAGACGTTGGAGAGGGCGGCGTGAAGAGCTGATTCAATGCCAGAGGACAAGAAAGGCTTTCAGAGGTCATAAAAGCAGAGGGCCTAAACTTCAAAAATGTTCTTGAGGACTGGGTGAACACACAAGAGAGCAGACGGCCGAGGTGTATCGACCGTGCAGATCCGACTGAAAGCTGCAACAATCGCCAGCGAAATGGGTAGTGGAGATTTTAAAGGCGGACCGTCACGGTGTTGTAGATTGATGAGACGAAAAGATGTGTCCATCAGGGCGCGGATGACTGTCTGTCAGCAACTCCCTTCCGACCACGAGGAAAAAGTTGCAAACTTCCACAAAGTTATTGGAACAAAACTAAGCGAGAATTCCATCGGATCAGACGACATCATAAATATGGATGAAGTATGAATTAGCAAAATTATAGTCAAATGATTGTTTAGTAATGAGATCAGGCTATATAATTGTTGATTGATAATATGAGCTATTATGCAATATAACTACAATGGAGACTACGAAATGGATGCACACAAAAAAGTGGTAAACCAACCGATACTGTCTGTAAATTTATGAAGGAGGATGATGTTTTTATGTTTTATGTGTTTTTGTTCGTGGTTAAAATTAATAAAAAACTTTATACATACATACATACATACATACATACATACATACATACATATTCATTCTTAAGTTTTCGCGGGTACTTACATGTATGGCATTCGGCTTTGTTCGGGTGTTTTTCCACGTCATAGTAGTTGTGCTTTTAAAGTTGTAGTGACATTTCGGCAGAATCTCATCTGCCATCATCAGGCTTCTGTATATCAGAAGCCTGATGATGGCAGATGAGATTCTGCTGAAACGTTGCTACAACTTTAAAAGCACAACTACTATGACGTGGGAAAACACCCGAACAAAACCGAATGCCATATATATATATATAGAGAGAGAGTACCTTTAACGTTTGACCTGCCTCTAACTAGAACTGTTAACAAGACAAGAGCGTCATCCATTATGGTGAAAACAACTGGCCACGAGAGAACTGCATTTCACGTGGGTTTTGAGCTGCACCGCATCCGGACAGAAGCTTGGTGATTTTTAAGCGGATGACTATGCCAAAAGAAAAACCTCCCGAAAGGCAGAGTCGTTAAGAGTTAACAAAAAAAGGGTGGATGATAGAAAACCTAATGACTGAATGGCTGACGGAGAGCTACAGTAAGCGCCCGGGAGGATTTTTTCACTGGAAAAAAAATCATTGCTCGTTTTGGACAGTATGAGCGGCCCCTATAACAGATTCTGTGAAAGTAGCCATCAAGAGAACAAACTCAATTCCAGCTGTGATTCCTGGAGGTACAACTATTTTTGCAGCCACCCGACATCAGTGTGAATCGTGCATTTAAAGCGGCCCTCCGAGGTGAGTGGGAGGCTTTGGATGACCAGCGGCGAGAAATCATTCACAAGAACTGGCCGCAGGCGAAGCGCGTTCTTTTCTGAGGTCTGCCAGCGGATCCTAACCGCGTGGAGCAGTGCGAAAGAATCCACGATCACCACGGGGTTTCGAAAGGCTGGACTGCTGCGTGGAGAGAACAGCGCAACTTCATCGGTAGTTGTGCCTCGAGATGAAAGTGACACTGAGAACGACACCGACAGAGAGACTGAAAAAGTGTGTGACGGAGATGCTCTGAGGCTCAACTCCGACACTGAAGAAGTCGACTTCAGTGGTTTCAGTGCATAGGAGGAGGATGAATAAAAACATTAACGGCTTTCCTGTTTTGTTCGATCAGCCGTTTTACTGCCGTGTTACAGGCACCGTTTGGAAACAATTAAGGTATGTAAATACAAAATCTTTACAAAATCTTTCTGTGTAAATATCTCATTTCACAACGTATATATCTGCGGCTTACAGTCTGGTGCGGCTAATATATGTAAATGTTATGTCTCACCTGGACAAACAAAGTAAGAAGTCCAAATTTCCAACTGAAACACAAATAAGCAGGCAAGTCCGGTAACTACAGGGTTAACTTCCTTAATCCGAAAACATTCCTGGCAGTCTCACGCCAGCTGCCTGCCAAGTCCGATAAGGAAGCATAAAATCACAAGCTGACAAGCCACACACACACAGGAAAAAATGCAGAAGCTTCTCTCATAAAATAACACGTTGTCCCGAACAAGGAACCAGAGCTAACACGCCCACTTGTATTCCCTGTGGGGCGTGTCAGTCTCTCATCTCAGTCTCTGATTTGTCCTTTCTTTTTACGTTGCATTTCACGCTTTTGCCTGCGTCTCTGCCTTGCATCAAACCAGCATTCCTCGGCTTGATCCTCAGTCAGAGGCTCTGATACGCTCTCCTGATTATCTGCCGACACCTGAGGCACAACCAGCGGGGAAGATCCTGCCGAGGAGGACAGTCCTGGGGAGGAAGGCAATTCCAAATCCTCCAACAGAGCAGGCTCAAACCTCAGAGCCAAATCCTCCTCTTCCTCATTGACCAAGTCCTCGACCTCTGTCAAAGCAGGCTCAAACCTCCGAGCCACAACATGTAAAAATATTTTTTTTCTTTTAAAATTGAGCAGGTGCGGCTTATATTCCGATGCGCTCTATAGTCCGGTAAATACGGTATTATCAGGACTTCTAAGATAATAATATTTGTAGATGTCAAAACGCCGTTGGAACTGTGAATATGATTTGTACGGGTGGAAAACACAATAAAAAATCTATTAAAAAATAAATAGACGTTGTAAGACAGGGTCTTATTTTCGGGGAACACGGTAATATAAAACAACAGGACACAACAACACCATAATATAAAAACATGGCACAAGACATAACAAAGCGGAACCAAAGAGTACCTTATTCACGAAGTAGAAGATTGCGTAGATGAGCACGTAGAAGGCAGATCCTCCAGACACGAGGAACGTCCTCCACCACCACCGATAATCCTGAAAAGAGGAGCAGAACCCCCTTAGATTACGGGTAGTCCTCGAGTTACAACCATTCGCTTAGGGACCGTTTGAAGTTACGGAGGTTATTTGAAAAAAAAAAAGGGGGGACGGACGGACTTGCAAATCGTCCTTGCAGTGACGACCACGGCGGCATCCCCAGGGGTCCCACGATCCCAATTGGGGCACTT